CCCCAATCTTTGGCATGATGAGCGAATGCTTTAACCTCTTATTAAGGCTTACCTGCTGCCCCCCAGACTGATAAATTTGGAACACCCATGTTGAGTTGTGGTGAGGTGAGGTGAAACTGGGTTTTACGTCGTGCTTGAGAATATTTCGCTCATATGACGACGTGCATGCGTGTGTATGTGTATGTGCGGCTGCTTGTACTAGCCCAGACTGAAGCTGGTTTTATAGTGCTAGCCCACTGAGATACCATGCCGCAGTGAAGCATGAATACCCCACTCAGACACATTATACTGACTCCGAGCCGACCAGTCCTTGTTGTACCCATTAATGCCGAGCGCCAGGCAGGGACCAACAAATACCATATTTTAACGTCTTTTGGTATGATGCGGACGGGGATCGAAGACGCTACGACCTTCACAGAGGCTCTGTGGGAGTATGGAGAGGCACAGAGGATTCTAACCACTACACCACGGAGGCAGTCTTGAGTTGTGGTATGGATTGTAAGACCTGCTACCTGCATGGACCCTGCGTTGAAGCATGGAGAGGGCACAGAGTGAAGTGTTGCTATGTGGGAGGATGGAGAGGGCACAGAGTGAAGTGTTGCTATGTGGGAGGATGGAGAGGGCACAGAGTGAAGTGTTGCTATGTGGGAGGATGGAGAGGGCACAGAGTGAAGTGTTGCTATGTGGGAGGATGGAGAGGGCACAGAGTGAAGTGTTGCTATGTGGGAGGATGGAGAGGGCACAGAGTGAAGTGTTGCTATGTGGGAGGATGGAGAGGGCACAGAGTGAAGTGTTGCTATGTGGGAGGATGGAGAGGGCACAGAGTGAAGTGTTGCTATGTGGGAGGATGGAGAGGGCACAGAGTGAAGTGTTGCTATGTGGGAGGATGGAGCTGATCAATGCACCTCTGCTGTTTCAGTGCAGTCGTATCCATCTCAGTGCAGTGCAGTCGTATCCTCTAAAATCCTTAAATATATTTGAGTACGCAAATGAGTTTTGTGCCTGTAAAGTGTTCATCTCGGCAATGGTTTGATGTAGTGTAGTGCTTAAAGTATTTGCTCATGAAATGGATTTGATTCCCATATGGGTACTATGTCTAAAAGTAGTGTAAACCATATTGTCATTTTGGCATTACTGATATCCTGCAATGGGTGTTGATTCTGTTAAAAGCAACATCAATCAAACGATATTTAATTCTCTAAGATATTATTATGGGAAAATGTTAGGACATTTCATACATCATATTGTTGGAGTGATTGGGTGGCCCTGTGGTAAAAGTGTTTACTAATCTCACCAAAGGCAGGGGTTTGATTCCCTACATGCATTCCATGTGAGAGACCCGTGAAGGTCCCGGTTAGAATGGTGCCTTCAGTAATCCATGCTTGTCGTAAGAGGCAACTAACGGGATCGGGTGGTCAGGATCGCTGACTTGGTTGACATATGTCATCGATTCCAATTTGCGCAGATCGATGCTCATGCTGTTGATCACTGGATTGTCTGGTCCAGACTTGATTATTTACAGACCGCCGCCATATAGCTGGAACATTGCTGAGTATGGCGTAAAACTAAACTCACTTACTCACTCACCCATGTGATAAGTTCCTGCTCTGTGTATGGGGTGGCGGGATAGCCTAATGGTTAAAGGATTTGCTCACCACGCCGGAGACCTGGGTTCGATTCCCACATGGGTACAATGTGTGAAGCCAATTTCTGGTGTCCCCCGCAGTGATATTGCTGGAATATTACTAAAAGCGGCGTAAAACTAAACTCACTCACTCAGTGCTCTGTGTTCCTTGCAGCAGCATGGCCGGAACAGTACTCAGAGCTGTCAGTTTCTTACTAGGGTCATTTTCTTACTCAGTTATGTTACTTTAGTCAGGCAACATGGCCAAAACTAGAACCATTCATTCAACAAACTGAAAGACATTGTTGCAGTCTTTCATGAATATCAATTTTCCAAAACATTTTGCCACTTTCCTACAGAGAACACAATTCAGAATATTCAAAGAATCTATTCGAAGGTCCAAGTAAAACTTCTGAAGGCACATGTTCCATTGTCAGGTTCCAAACTATACGTATTTGGAGGCAATTAAGGCCTATTGATTACGATGAAGTGGTTTTCACTGACTTATGTGATTCATAGCAGTCATACGTATACTGCTTTTGCTATTTCTGTTTTCTTATAAAAGAACAACATTATATATATTGTTAACTGTGTGAAATGTTCCCTTTGATTAATATTGTGGAAAAGTATACTAATAATTAACAACCTCTTACTTGCGTTTTATTACTAACAACTTGTTTTGGTGCAATAAAGAGTGAATTCTTTGTTGTCCACCAGCTTGCCAAGAGATAGCCTCCATTATGTATTATTTAAGGTGGGGGTTTTATCAATAACTTTGATGCTCGCAACACATGGATTTTTCCTTCACACCTCAAATTTACACAGTTCCCAGTTCAATGGAAGAGTCCTGCTTTCAGGTATGTCTTTTCCCATTCTCCAGCTCACGGTAGAGGCTTCAATTCTTCTTCTCTTCCTCTCATTTCTTCTTATAATCTTTTGCATCCCCCTCCTCATATTTCTCCTCCTTCTCCTCCTTCTCCTCTTCTCTTCCTCCTCCTCCTCATCACCATCCTCTTTCTCTCTTTTTCCTCCTCTCATCACCATCCTTCACCTCTTCTTTTTCCTCCTTCTCCCTCATCACCATCCTTCTCTTTCTCCTCTCCTCATCACCTCCTTCTTTCTCCTCCTCCTCACCATCCTTTCTTCTTTTTTCCTCCTCCTCATCATCCTTCTCTTCTCCTCCTTCCATCCTTCTCTTCTTTCATCCTTCCTCTCCTCCTCTTCCTCCTCACCATCCTTCTCCTTTCTTTCTCCTCCTCTCACCATCCTTCTCCTTTCTTCCTCCCTCATCACCACCATCCTTTCTCTCCTCTCTTCACCTCCTCCTCCTCCATCACCATCCTTCTCCTCTTTCTCCTTCTCCTCATCACCATCCTTCTCTTTTCCTCCTCCTTCATCACCATCCTTCTTTTCCTCCTCATCATCACCATCCTTCTCCTCTTCTTTCTCCTCCTCCTCATCACCATCTTCTCTTTCTCCTCTCATCACCATCCTTCTCTTCTTCCTCCTCCCTCCTCTCATCCTTCTCTTCTTTTCTTTCCTCCTCCTCCTCATCCTTCTCTTCTTTCTCCTCCTCATCATCATCATCCTTCTCTTCATCCTTTCCTCCTCCTCATCACCATCTTTTTCCTCTCCTCTCACCATCCTTCTTTCTCCTTCTCCTCATCACCATCCTCCTCCTCCTCCTCCTCATCCTTCTAGTCTTCTTTCTCCTTCTCCTCATCACCATCCTTCTCTTCTTTCTCCTCCTTCTCCTCATCACCATCCTTCTAGTCTTCTTTCTCCTTCTCCTCATCACCATCCTTCTCTTCTTTCTCCTCCTTCTCCTCATCACCATCCTTCTCCTTTTCCTTCTCCCCCGTTGCTTCTCCTAAACCTCCTTCTGCTCTTTCTTCTCAGGTGGCATCAACCTATAACCTCAGTAATATCTTGCCCCATCTCAATGAACTTGTACAGATTTAGATGCCCCTACTTGAGATGATTTGTTGGCATCACCCCACTGCTCAGTGACTTACTACTGTCCTTCGTGACAAAGTCATGTGTGATGTCCGTGGTGTGTGGCCTCCTCTTTCGAACATTTCCGATGAATGGAAGTTTGACGTCTGGTCTTAATCATAAACTTGTATCCAGCAAAAAACAAGTGTAAATTAATCCCTCATAGGTAGGAACAAACTGTAAACCAATTTACCAGTGACAAATACTGTTTTTTGTTATCGTACCATGATAAAGATTAATAATGTATTCACTCTATTACTCATATAAATTTTAAAAGTATTCACTGAGTTCACTAACTTGGGGTGCCATAATATTGCAGATATTCATCAATGTGTAGGGGTGGTGGGGTGGCCTAGTGGTTAAAACCTTTGCTCACCACGCCGAAGACCTGTGTTTGAGTCCACCCAAGGGTACAATATGTGAAGCCCTTTTCTGGTGTCCCCCGCCATGATATTGCTGGAATATTACTAAAAGCGGCATAACACCATACTCACTCCTATCAGTTGTATCATGTGTGAGATGACCACCCCACCATCCACCCAGCTGACTATAATCCAGGATTGTGTAACCAATTGGATAATGTTTTGTCACTCAGGATATCAATGCATAGACCTAAATACAAACCAGATGAGGCCGATCCACTGGTCTCTTTTATTTCTACATCCAGAGGAGAAATCAGTGGAAGGGAAATGACTGTTGGATTTGTTGAACTATGTAGGATCATCAATATACCTAGAGCTTAAGCTAAACTTCTTGGGCAAATTCCTTGTTTTGATTTTGCCACTCAGTAGAACTTCTAATTCATAGGCATAAAGAAACAGATCGTCTTGACTTCATCAAAGAAACAGAAGTTAATTTTCTGGCTCTTTTTCTATGAGTATCATTTTCATTTTGATTAAATTTTTAATTTGTTTTTGTTCCAACCAGTATCATGACAAAGATATTTTGATTCCATTGATTGGGGATTCCTTGTGTATTGTGTTTTATGTTTTGTGGTAATGTTACAATGCCACTCCTAATGTTCATTCTGTGCCAACAATCAGACTGAGACGGGCTTGATACAATGTCGGGCTGTTCAGAAGAGGTGAGTCGCTTTATGTTAAGAAATCTTGGACGTATTAAGTCATAGAGATACCTTTAGGTGGGTGGATGATGATGGGCAATAGAGGGCAATCAGTTCTGTTTTCTCACAACAAAATATAAGGTTCAGTAGAACGAGGAGGATTCTCCAATCTATGTTAGGATGTGGCTCTGTGGTAGAACTCACATCCATGGCAGGGTGTGGCTCTGTGGTAGAACTCGGATCCATGGCAGGGTGTGGCTCTGAGGTAGAACTCTGATCCATGGCAGGGTGTGACTGTGGTAGAACTTCGGATCCATGTTAGGATGTGGCTGTGTGGTAGAACTCGGATCCATGGCAGGGTGTGGCTGTGTGGTAGAACTCGGATCCATGGCAGGGTGTGGCTGTGTGGTAGAACTCGGATCCATGGCAGGGTGTGGCTCTGTGGTAGAACTCGGATCCATGGCAGGGTGTGGCTGTGTGGTAGAACTCGGATCCATGGCAGGGTGGTAGTGGCTGGCTCTGTGTAGAACTCGGATCCATGGCAGGGTGTGGCTCTGGCTGTGTGGTAGAACTCGGATCCATGGCAGGGTGTGGCTCTGTGGTAGAACTCGGATCCATGGCAGGGTGTGGCTCTGTGGTAGAACTCGGATCCATGGCAAGGTGTGGCTCTGTGGTAGAACTCGGATCCATGGCAAGGTGTGGCTCTGTGGTAGAACTCGGATCCATGGGGTGTGGCTGTGGGTGTGGCTGGCAGGGTGTGGCTGTGGTAGAACTCGGATCCATGGCAGGGTGTGGCTGTGTGGTAGAACTCGGATCCATGGCATGGGGTGTGGCTGTGTGGTAGAACTCAGATCCATGGCATGGCAAGGTGTGGCTGTGTGTGGTAGAACTCGGATCCATGGCAGGGTGTGGCTGTGTGGTAGAACTCGGATCCATGGCAGGGTGTGGCTGTGTGGTAGAACTCGGATCCATGCTGTGTGGTAGGGTGTGGCTGTGGCTGGTAGAACTCGGATCCATGGCAGGGTGTGGCTGTGTGGTAGAACTCGGATCCATGGCAGGGTGTGGCTGTGTGGATATGGCAACTCGGATCCAGGTGTGTGGCTGTGTGGCAGGATGTGGCAGGGTGTGGCTGTGGTAGAACTCGGATCCATGGCAGGGTGTGGCTCTGTGGTAGAACTCGGATCCATGGCAGGGTGTGGCTGTGTGGTAGAACTTCGGATCCATGGCAGGGTGTGGCTGTGTGGTAGAGATCCATGGCAGGGGTGTGGCTGTGTGGCCAGTTCTACCACAGAGCCACACCCTGCCATGGATGTGATGCACCCATATACCCACAAAACCTGCGTTTTATGGTATACCATATAAAACTACACCTGTATAATAAAACACCTGTGTTTCAGTGTATATCAAGTAAACATGCACCTGTATAATAAGGACAAGTTTGTTTGTTAGTGTATATTTTATAAAGAAGCACCTGTATGATACAGATAATATTTCAGTGTATTATCTACAAATAACGAAATCTGTGTTTCAGTGTATATCACATAAATGTGCACCTGTATAGTTTATATTGTGTGAAAATGCACCTGTATAATATGGACACCTGTGTTTAAGTGTATCATATAAACATGCACCTGTATAATATGGAAACAAGTGTTTCAGTGTATATCATGTAAACATACACCTGTATGATACAGACACCTGTGTTTTAGTGTATCATATAAATATACACCTGTGTACTAAGGACACTTGTGTATCGGTTTATATTATGTAAACATGCACCTGTATGATATGAACACCTGTGTTTCAGTATATACCATGTAAAACATGCACCTGTATAATGTGGAAACCTGTGTTTCAGTATATACCATGTAGACATGCACCTGTATAATGTGGACACCTGTGTTTAACTGTATACCATGTAAACGTGCACCTGTATAATGTGGACATGTGTGTTTCAGTATATACCATATAGACATGCGCCTGTATAATGTGGACACCTGTGTTTCACTGTATACCATGTAAACATGCACCTGTATAATGTGGACACCTGTGTTTCAGTATATACCATGTAGACATGCACCTGTATAATGTGGACAACTGTGTTTCAGTATATACCTTGTAAACATGCACCTGTATAATACAGACTCCTGTGTTTCAGTGTGAGCAGCACTACTGGAAGACCCAGTGCCAGCGCGGCACGATGTACGGGATGCTGCTGGAGAGCATCCAGCACTACGTCCAGGAGTTCTACGGACTGGACAGCTGGCAGCAAATCCTGGAACATGCCGGAATGAAGAACATGATCTTCTCCACACATAAAGTCTACAAGGACGAAATAATGGTCAACCTTGCCACCAGCTGCAGCGCTGTCCTCCAAGACCGCAACATTGACGAGTACATGTACTACTTCGGGCAGTGTTTCGTGGACTTCTGTCAACATTACGGATATGATAAAGTTCTACGTGTTGCCGGACGCCATTATCGGGACTTCTTAAATGGAATCGACAACTTACACGAAACTATACGATTCAGTTACCCTAAGTTGCAGAGTCCTTCATTTATTGTGGAAATGGAAGACAGTGGTGGATGTATATTGACGTATCGTTCAAAACGTGTTGGGTTTGCGTAATATGTGACGGGTCAGTTGGCGCAGTGTGCGAGGAGACTGTACAATGTGGATGTGGATATACATATTCTGCAAGAGATTCGTACAGACCACGGCTGCCACGTAAAGTACCGACTCAATTTCCCCAACACAGGCTACTCTCCGCCCATTACCGCCTACACTACCTCAGGAACTCTGGGATATCCCCGGATTGCCAGCAGTACTTTTTTCAAGGTAAAGCCACTTATCCTCTTTGTTTGTTTGACCAGAGGTGTAATTGCCAGGTTTGGGCATATATATCCATGTTGGTTTTGAGCTAACCTGACTAAAAGTGAACAAAAAGTAAGCTTAAGCTGAAATTAATATTTAATATTTTCAACATTTCCAAATTTACAAATCTTGAACTAGGCTGAACCTTTGTATAGTTGATTCTAGCAATGGTGTCACTAATATATGTTCATAAATCTTTAGCTGATTTTAAACATGTCTGCCAAGTTGGCCATATTGGAACTGTCATTTTTCCTCATTAAATCTGTCATTTGGAATCAAGTTTGACTCCAGTATCTATATAATATGTATTTTATGTAACATATTATGTCTTTATCGGCAATTTTTAACGCTGCAACTTTTAAATCTATGTTATTGAATTTTCAACATCTCTATTGCAACTGTTTTGAGGCTGAAACTTTGTGTTATTGATCCCAGCAGTTGTGTCTTAAACTTCTGCTCATAAATTTGCAATCCAATTTTCAACATGGCTTCCAGTATTTCTTCAAGCATCATTTGCCATACCGAATATTGTGTTGGCAGTATGTCACAGTGTGTTTTACATATTTGGATGAGAAACACTGGCTTTCACATACTCCATGTTTTTAGCATTACTGTTTTTTCAACATCTTATCTGAAACTTTGTGTTAAGATCCCATTGTCATAGAATTCAGATCTGTTTGAAAACTTGGCTTCCATTAATTTTTAGTTGAGCTACAGAGCCTAGTTGAACTATGTTTATATGTTGCCAAGTTTAGATATCTATGCCAAAAAAGGTAAATAACTCAAATTGAGTTGCATATGACTTTTATCCATAAAGGTAACCATAACTTTCAAATTGAGTTGCATATGACTAGGTTTTATCCATATCCTCAGTCTATCAGCTAGGTGTATACAAATACACCATGAGCTTTGCAAGTGACACTATAGGTGTATCTATGAATACACTAGAAGCTTTGAATGTGAAACTAGGTGTATGCAAAAACATGATCAGCTTTGTAAGTGAAAATGTAGGTGTATCTGCAAAAACATAAACAGCTTTCAGGGCTCCAGATAAGGGCCGTATCGGCGTATGTACGGATTATAAAATATGCACGATACGGTAGGAAATAATTTAGAAAACGTAGCAGATACGCACCACAGCAATGGTGTACGGTCTTAGAATCATTTACAGACGTATTTATCTGAAAAAAGTATTGTCTTATTGTTTATTGACCTGTTTACACAAGAGTAGCAATGTTGTGGTGCATATATGAAACGAAACACAAGATTACTGATAGTCCATTAACTTCCATTCAGTACTCTAAATGTACACTTAAGGTTTTCCAGTACTCAGTATTGAACAAATAAGGAGTACGTACTCCTGATGTTGAAAAATTATCTGGAGCCCTGAGCTTTTAAGTGAAAATGTAGGTGTATCTGCAAAAACATAAACAGCTTTTAAGTGAAACAAGGTTTAAAGATTTGTCTATTTACAAAACAAGTTTTCCTTGCCATCTCTGAAAGTAATTACACTGTCCCAGAGGATCTTTATCCCTTCCTACAGTGTTAGTTATATTTGTTAATCTTGTCACAATTCAAATTTTAAAACCTTACATACAGAAACCATTTTGACAAGTTGCATCAACCATTTGTCTTCTATATGGCCACATAATTAGGTGAGGTGAGGTGAGGTGAAATTGGGTCTAACGTCGTGTTGGAGAATATTTCGCTCATATGACGACGTGCATGCGTGTGTATGTGTATGTGCGACTGCTTGTACTAGCCCAGACTTAAGCTGGTTTTATAGTGCTAGCCCACTGAGATACCATGCCGCAGTGAAGCATGAATACCCCAATCAGACACATTATACTGACTCCGAGCAAACCAGTCCTTGTTGTACCCATTAATGCCGAGCGCCAGGCAGGGCCAACAAGTACCATATTTTAACGTCTTTTGGTATGACGTGGTCGGGGATCGGACCCGCGCCCTTCCGCTCTCTGGGGACGCTCTAACCACTACACCACGGAGACATAATTAGGCATGGAATTAGTATGCAGTGGATTTCATCCTAAGTATACTTTTATGTGAAACAAATCTTTCTCCTTCAATAAATAATGCAGTAATAATAAAGTCATGTTATTAGCTTACCCCTCTGCTTCTCATTACTGTTTTGAGGCGGTGGGGTAGCCTAGTGGTTAAAGCGTTCGCTCGTCACGCCGAAAACTGGGTTCGATTCCCCACATGGGCACAATGTGTGAAGCCCATTTGTGGTGTACCCCGCCGTTATATTGCTGGAATATTGCAAAAAGCGGCGTAAAACCAAACTCACTAACTTACTCATTAAAGTTTCAGATAACGTTTTAGAAAATATCAGTTATGACAGCCTCACTGTTGCATACAATGAAGTTCCTGAGAGTCCTAACTTATATTTAGATTTCTGCATGAACTGCAGTGTATGTTCCATTTAATACCTGACCTCATCCACTGATATGCCTTCCTGAACTTCATCTCACATACTGTATTCTCCCCAGGAGCACTTCAGTAACCCATGCTTGTCATAAGAGGCGACTAACGGGATCGGGTGGTCAGGCTCTGACTGACTTGGTTGACACGTGTCATCGGCTCCCAATTGCGTAGATCAATGCCCAAGCTGTTGATCACTGGTTTGTCTGGTCCAGACTCGATTATTTACAGACCGCCACCATATAGCTGGAATATTGCTGAGTGCAGTGTAAAACTAAACTCACTCACTCACTCCTCAGGAGCATCATGGATGGGTTTGGGCTACCCTTGCTTCAAGGTTGTACTGAATGCTCAGCAAAGCCCATGGATGTATAGTAATTCTATCCTTTAAAGAGGCAAGTCTAGATAAGAGGATAGTATTGTACAGTACTAAGGACGCCAGTCTGTTATTCATATTTTTAGAAATTGTCATTTAAACTATTAATTATTACCTTAGAGATTTGTTTGGGAGTTCACTGGTACTGAATGATTTACATATACAGGGATACATCTTGGCTGTGGGATTGTGGGATATATGCAGTTGTGTCATTACTTCCGCAACAGAAAAGTCAGTGCGCCAATTTTCATGCAAATAAAGTTGAGTTGGCACATCGCTGACCATGTGAGATATAATTGAAACAAAAATAACAATATGAGGAACATTTTAGTAATTACCATGGCAGTCATATACTGCTACCTGTATCTTAAACAAAAACACTAATCAGTGCTAATCATCATTAGGGCTGCGCAATATAATCGGTTTACCGGTATATACTGGTTCAGACATGAAAACGATACGTATTGCGATACGCTGATTGAAAACTGGTATTTTGACATGCATTCGAAAAGACTTTGTAACACTCGGAAATCTTTGGATATTTCCGTTTTATAAATTGTTCCTTTCCTTTTGTTATTTCTGTCAAATATTATTTACATTTTTCTTTGGTCATGATTAAAAGTTTTTATTAAAGGTTAATCAAGCATGGTGATTTTGTTGTGTTTTTGCTTTATAAATCAAGAATTAACTCGATTATAAGTAGTTTTTTGTTAAAAAAAGAACTTCTTGCAATATATTGCAATACATATCGCAATAAATGCTTTCGCATCGCAATATATTGCAATATGAAAATTCTCTGCAATACCCACCCCTAATCATCATAATATCCTGAGGTATCTAATATGAAGACGAAACATTCCAATTGCTTTTTGGAATTTGTGAGTGAGCATTAACTTTTTCTGGAGTGCTCAGTTAGTGAGATCACAAACTTGTTAAAAACCATAAAACATGGCTGCCCTGGTTCAGATACTTGTTCCAGTCTTGTGACAAGCTGGATGCCTGGTGTATATATTGACTGGTTCTTGTTTGTCTTTGCCCTGCATCACATTTCCGTATACAGACAGATCCGTCTAATATAACAAGCTATTATCATTGGCCCTCTGTTTGTTAAGGATGTTTCCCTAAATGTACAAGGATCCTGAGATCATCAGTTTCAGTCACAGATTCTCTCTGATTATTCCCTTAATGCTCTGAATCATGCATAAAAAATGTAAAAGTCTAAGACCTTGAATCATGCCTTTAGACCAACCCTGTAGTGTAGTGGGTAGAGTGACAGCCTGGAGAGATTAAGGTCAGGGGTTTGATGCCCAGCTATGTCATACCAAAAGTAGTGAAAAGGTGGTACTTGTTCTTACCCTGCCTGGTAATTAAGGGGACAAGGGGATTCTGGGACCATAAGTAATTTACAGGACGTAAAATATGAATTAAGTTATATTCTGCCATTACTTTCTAGGTGGCATCGAAACCTAGGAATATATGTCGTCAGTCACCATAAACTCAAAACTGTTGCTGTTGGAAAATTATTATTCAATGGACCAAATCTCAGCGGTATTAAATAAACAACCTCAAAACTGTTGCTATTGGAGACTAATTATTCAATGGACCAAATCTCAGCTGTATTAAATAAAAAAAACTCAAAACAATTGCTACTGGAACCGTAGAATTCAAACTACAGTATCCCAGCTGTATTAGATAAATAATGGACTGAGTTTTGGTTTTACGCTTTTAGCAATATTCCAGCAACATCACGGCGGGGGACACCAGAAATGGGCTTCACACATTGTACCCATGTGGGGATTCGAACCCGGGTCCTCGGCGTGACGATCCAACGCTTTAACCACTAGGCTACCCCACCGCCCCCGATAAATAATGGAAGAAACATTTGTCACATACTTTCATCATGTTCTCACAAATTAAATTTAATTAAATACATTAATGTCCCACTTCTGTCTGCCCTGTAGCTATATTTATCAGAAGTTCCAATATAATATCCAAGATTGTATTTGTAATTAGTCATGTGGGGGTCTGTGGTGTTGGGCTACATAAACTAAACACTATAGATCCCACCTTTGTCAGTCAAGTAACCTTCAATGGACAGCTATATTTATTGTCCGTTTAACGTCTTTTGTGATTCATTACAATTTTG